GAGAAGGCCAACCATCAATTCATTTGACATAGTCTCTTCCACTCTCTTCCCTGCTCACTCCTCTCCAGCCACACTGACTTCCTTGCTCTCTCTCAAGCACAGTCAGCATCTTTCACCTCAGGGCCTTTGCACTTCCCTTTACCTGGAACCCCCTTTCCCAGATAGCTTCATGACTCACTTTATTCTGTTCTCTGCCCAGATGTCATCTTGGCGGAAGATTTCCTGATCGCTCCACATAATATACCGTCCCCTCCCCATTATTCTGTCTCCTACTCTCCTTTGTGTCTCTCCAGCCCTCATCAGCATCTGCCATATAAACTTCATGAGAACAGGGCCTTTGTCCCATTGGTTCAGAGCCTAGAACAGGGCATGGCCCATAGTAGGTGTCCAATAGATAGCTGTTGAATGCAGGTAGGAATACATATATGAATGCATGTTTGATAAAGCTCTGACTGAGACCAAAGATCCTTCCACTGTTTCTCTTCACGGCTGCTTCTAGATGCCCACTGAGACACTCGAACCCTGGGGAGAGCCAGATGCTGTTCCTCTGTGTGCCAGGGATAATATGTGCAGTCAGCAGCCACTCACTTTGTGCCCAGTTATTAAAGCCAGCAGAGCCCTGAGATTAGCACCCCCACTTCTTTGACGTGATTTTGGCGGAAGAAAAACAAATCAGAATTCATCAACTGTGAACAAAATTGTCAACTGTGAACTGTCAACAGTCTGGTTTAAAAATAGATGATAGGTTGATGAAATACAGCGGAGAAAGCAATTTAAATAAAATGTTAAAAATAATACCCAAAGCGTGCAAGGCAAAGCGCAGAGTGTGGTGTGGTGGAGAAACGTACTCAGTGGAGACTGCGTGAGCAGTGAACCAGAGAGAGCTTATTAGTTTTTCTTTACAAATCACAGAAGAGAAAGATTTACTGGCCATTTGCAGAAAAACATTCACTCATTCCGACGTGTTGGTGTGTTATGCAAAACGGAAGGAAAGATTGGGTGGGAAATCTGCTAGCACATTTATTTTTAAGTAGGTCAACATTTTTAATATTTCTGCCCATTCATGAAACCTTTGGATCTCTCCATCTCCTCCGTTTCTGTGATGATTGGGGAAGGCATTTCTGTTCCAGCAGGTCAAGGGATCTAGAAGCTTTGGGGGTTTGTATTTATATTTATATTTGTGTTTGTATGAATATGGGTTCCAGTACAATGTTTAAAAGTCCTTAACTAATTTCCCACTTTCTCCACTCTCCTCCTTTAAATAATTATGGTTAATTATTTATTTAACTGCTTTATCATCAAATCAATATAAAGGCTTGAATTTTTCATATTTCCTCTGTTCTGGGCATGAGTCACAGCTGATATAATTTGGCTAACTTCTTTATGTCCAACCGCCCCATATTCTGAGGCTGCCGTTCCATGTTTTTTTCTTTCTTTCCAGGAGAACTGAACCATCTTGGCACAAAGATCTGTGCTTTATAAACCAAAGACAAGGTGTTTCCATTCCTTAGAGACCATCTTTTTTTAAAAAAAAAAAAATCCAGATGGAAAGCGTATTTGTTGGCTAGGGCTGCTGTAAAAGTACCACAGACTGGGAGACTTAAACAACAGAAATTTGTCGTCTGAGGTAAAAGTCTGAAATCCAGGTGTGAGCAGGGTTGGTTCCTTCTGAGGCTGTGAGGGAGAATCTGTCTCATGCCTCTCTTCCAGCTTCTGGTAGCCTCAGGTGTTCCTTGTAGATGGCCTTCTTCTCCCTGTGTCTCTTCACACCACCATCTTTTACCACGTATATATGTATTTCTAAATAGCATGTTCTGAGCTTTATAAAAAATGGAATTGTAGCCCTTTGAGCTTCATTTAAATGCCACATGTTGTCCTGGAAGATAAAAGCAGACCTGTGCCCTTGAGACATGTATTTTTGCTGGTGCAGATAAATCTTGTTTTCTCCAGTGGCACATTCCTGGAGTCAGGGAAGAGGCCCGGCTGCCTCCACAGACTGTGACAGCAGCTGTCCAGGAAAGGGGGCTCTGGGGCCAGCTAAGGAAGCCGAGTTCCTGGAATTACAGCCCACAGGGGCTCCTAGACACGGCGAGGCCACCCAGGGAACAGGTGTTCTGGGTGTCTGGGAGGCAGATGGACAAGACTGACTCCAGTGATAGACGGGGTGAGCAGGGAGGCTGAAAGGCAGAGTGCTGAGTGTGGGGCTCTAAGAGAGGGCAGGGGAGTGGATGTGGGTCAAGGCTGGTTCACCATCAACATCCCAAATACTGAGTTCCAGCACCTGCATTCCTTGTGCAGGCAGAGTGGTAGCTCCTAGTGGCCAGAACAGAGGCCTACTATGTGCCAGGGGCATATGCGTGTCGTATCATGCCAGGGAAAAGACAGTGACTAAGACCTTTGCTGGCTGTGAAGTACTTTCTGGTCTAGTAGGAATTCAGTTGTTCTGTTAGTCGGCTTTTGCTGAATTATACTGTGGTAACAAATAATCCCCAAACAGCAGTGGCTCACGACAGCAAACGTCAATTCCTTGTTCATGTTGCATGTTAACTTTGGGTTAGCTTCAGCTGTGTTCCATGTCCTCTGCCTTCTGGGTCCTAGGCAGAAGGAGCAGCCCTTATCTGGCACATGTCATTTTCATGGTCGAGGGAAAACAGCAAGAGATGAAACCGAGCAGTGGTTCTTAAAACGTCCGCTCAAACCTGACTTGCATCACTCCTGCTCCCAATCCACTGGCCAGAGCAAGTTACATCGCCAGCATGGACGCCACCAGGGAGGGGAAGTCAACTTTCCCATGGGGCAATGAGCGAAGTGTAGGTTCCTCTTTAAAGGCCACAGAATGTTTGGGAAGAGTATTACAATCTAACACAGGTATGGACAGGCAATCACAGGAACGGTATGATAAGGCTTTATAGTAAGTAAACATAATAAGTTTTAACTTTATAAAGTAAATTTTCATATAAAATATATATTTCCCCCTAAATTAGCTTTAGGGATTCTGTTAAGAAAATAGTTTGAGAAGCACTAGTCTGAAACTGAGGATTGTTGCAGATAGCTAGCCCAGGGGAGAAGGAGGCGATAGGGCGGGCCACGGTGGTCTTCACTCTAGCCGTGTGCACGTGCTCATATGCTGTGCTATTTGAAAAGAAGCTTCTTATGCTAGGGACCCACCTGCCACCATCCAGCCTTCTCTTGGCTCACCCTCCGTCCCTTTGGACTGTCTGTAGGCACACGCCACACCTGCAGGTGTCTTGGGTACTGTATCCCCACATGCACGTATATCCTGCCTCCCTCATGGTCACGTCCAGGTGGCTTTAGAAGGACACGTTCTTTTTTGCTTCTTCATGAAGTCAGTTGAGGTTTGTGGCCTGGGCCATGGCCTCCTGTCATGTAGCCCCCACAACTCCACCACCACACCGGGCACAATCTAGACACCTGACAAATTTGTACAAAAGGGGATTTTTCATCAAGAGGAAGCCAGCACTCTATAGGCGTGTCTCTTGCTCTCTCTCTGCAAGGGTGGCCAGCGACTGTGTGGGTGACAGTTGGAGTTACACAAGAGTGACTCCGGTACATTTAGAACCAGGTTGAAAGCACTCTTTCCCTCGGTTTGTAATTGGTATGGGCACTGAATAGCTCGTCCTCTCACAATGAGCCAGTATTCATCTGCACTCGTGTGTTGCTTTGCAAATGCTAGGGGCCTTTTTCAAAGGTACTCATTTGTGTTTTCCAAGGGCAGGGACTGTATCTCTTCCTTTCTTTCTTCTAAAAGATCCCCCACGGCTCCTGATAAGAACTGCACGCACAGTGGGTGCTCAGCAAATTTTGCTATCTCCTCTTCCTTTGAACCTCCACCAGATACAAACAGGGTCCTGGGCCCATGGGCCTTTGCAGAGGACTGATTACACACAGACCTTGATCTTGAGAATCTTACAGGTAAGAAGGGAGGGAACTTGCAGACAACTCAGACCCAGACCAACAGCAAAGCTGCATAATTAGCCACACAGAGTACAGTACAGGATGTCTGCTCTCTCAAGCCCATCCATGTGACAGAAACAGTGATGTGTGACCCTTAGGTCCACCTGTATAAGCATCATGATCTTTGCAAGTTATTTAACCTCTCTGAGTCTCAGTTTCTTATTCTATAACATAGGAATAATAAAAATTCTGTCAATTGTTGTGGTCTTTCTCACCTGTAAATAACATCCTTTTTTCCTGCTTGTGGTCTGAATCAATTGAGACTTAAGAGTAAAGAGCTGGCAGAAAGTGGCCAAAATACTAGCACTGTTGCCGATGAAGGGTTGACAAAAGGATGTGGCTTTGGGGCTTCTAACACTGAAGCTGAGGATTCTGTGGGTGCTCTCACCCCCTCACAGGCTGGGTAGACAGCCACAGGCATCCTCCGGGGGAAGACTGGGTAACACTTAGGTTTTGGACAATTGAAGCAAAAGCACGCATTCCTCACTTGCTACCAGGGGGAAGGGGCTGGACCTCACACTTAACTTCCAAACTTACTGGAGAGATTGTTACTCTTCCTCCCCAGGAAGAGCATGTGAGCAGCTGAGAGGGACTAGGAGTGCTGCGTGGGCAGAGCTTCCCCATGTGGGAGGAAGGAAACATGGAAAAGCAGCCTTCTGCTGTGCACGGGGGTGGGGGGGTGGGGGGTCTTTGTGGACCCTATGGGACTCCACAGGTGTTTAGTGTCATACTAATACTTTTATTTTATGAATAGTTACAGTTGAGTTTACCATTTATTAAAGTAAGCCTCCTGGTGCTTCTGCACTGTTTTTAGATGTTATCCTGTGCATCTGGAAAAACATAAAAGGCCATTTCTTATTTAGTATTCTGTAATTCTGACCTTTAACTGAGATGGAGCCTCCATTCTCCATCTTTGCTCCCGTGAGCCTAACTCTGGTTAGAGGGGCGCTGGCTGTTTCCTAAGGAAGCCAAGGAGGGCTTTGCTTGGCTGCATTCTCAAGGCCTGTTCTGTCTCTCTTTTGCAGTGCAAGTTGGAGTTCCACGCCTGTTCTACTGGCAAAAGCCTCACCACCCTCTGTGATGGGCCCTGTCCATGCCTCCCAGAGCCCGAACCTCCAAAACACAAGGCAGAGAAGAATGGTGAGTGGGGATTCCTGAAGGAGGGTTGGGAGGTCAGGGAGGGTGGACATGACCAAGCTCTGCCCCAGAGGCCAGGAAGTTGGCATTTAACAGAGCTGTTCTAGCCCAGGTGTGTGGGGGTGGGGGAACTTACTTGGCAAGTACGACACCTTGTTTAGGGACTCTAAACTGAACTACCTTTAGCTACCATTAAAAAGAAAAAGAAGAGCTGAAAGTCTTTGAAAATAATTCTGTTAGACCAAGATATGTACTAGGTTCTTTTAGAGGTCAAATTGGCTATGGTGTAGGAAGGGCAGGTTTTTCAGTATCTAGGACCAGGGCCTGCCCTGGCGTACATCTTGGTCTTCCTTGAAGTCTAATCTCCAAATCCTTTGTACTTCTCAAGACCATGTTTCAAAACAGAGACTGCAGAGATGTCACAACAGTGGAGAGTATTCCCCCAAAAAAGTGTTTCTTTATTAATATATTCTGCTTGGAAAGCAGCACAGAGCCAGGAGACAGATGAGAGGAGAATACCTCTCCCGGGGCAGCTGTGTCTCTTCCGTGGCTGAGGGGGGCAGGAAAGGTTGGGCTTATTTGGATGTTTTCATGATGGAGAAAGTAACATTGTCCCACTGGTCTCAACCCCTCTTTGAGCCTTCTTTAATGAGACCTGAGATACAAGTTTGCATTTGCCTTCTGTGGAGCTGGGCTTTCTCAGTTGTAGCCAGGTATTCCATGCAAAATGTTGCATGTCTCTGTGTGTGAGTATGTGTGCGTGTACGCACGTGTCTTCTAAAGCCAGCAGCTATCGGTAATGGAGGATGAATAGGGGGTCAGTGTTTATCCATTTGTCTCTTCACAAGCTGTATTGTCTTTTCCAGGGCACATAAATGAAGAAGTTCAAGTATAAATTTGTTCATGGTGTTGACTATGGGAATATTGTGTTAAAGGGCTTTTTGGGAGGTTTAGCCCAGGATGTAGAAGGACATTGTAAACCATAAAGCCTTGTGGTCACAAATTGTCTCCACAGATTACTCTTGATTCCCAAAAAACTGATCTCATTGCATTTTGGCCTGATTCATTTATATAACTGCAGTAAGAAATGTTGATTAATATACAGAAGCCTCCTTGTAGTATGGTTAGAAAACCTGAAGCCCTGTGTGCTGAGCATCTACAAAGTCCAGAAAATTAATTTCTGTCTGGAGATGTCTTAAGAATCTTCTTAGCAAGTTCCAATAGCCTCTATTATTTCAGTCATATTGTTTATTGCTTTTATTTACTCTTCTATTCTGAGGTGAGGAAACCAAACCAAGAAAATCATTGCCACCATTTTGCCTGTTGTATCTATAAATAGGGTTGAATGCATCTCTCCTGCAAGGCCTCCAAATCTGCTAAGGTTTCCTAACCTGCCATAATAAGGCAACAGACCAGTTTTCTGGGAGGACTTTGTGGTTCTCCAAAGGAAGTACAACCCTTATTTCTTAATGGTGCGCTTGTGATACCTGATTAAATGAGATTCACTCTCAATTATGACACTCCAGGTATGGCCTTGACTGCACCATCTATTTGTTCAATTATGTACTGGTAAAAATGAGAACAAATTCTTGTTGAACCTATGCAAGTAACTACATTGCCGTTAAAAGTAAAGAGATTCAGGAAACAGTGTTGTTCCAGAATTCTGAGAGGTGAGTGAGAACAAGATAACCATTTAGAAGTGTTTCATTTCAAAATGTTTGTAAAAGCATGGACTACTAAATTAATAGTAAGAGATAGAGGAAAGAGAAAGCACTTCTCCATATTCCTATCAGAGATAATAGTAATAAAAGATAATACCAACACTATTCCAAAACAAATAATCAAAGTTATATTTCCTTCATCCGTTCCTTCAGTCCTATATCATTTTTTTTTGTTCCACTGGCTCTTGGGTCAACAGTTTGTTTTTATGAAGTCATCTGTCTCTGAACAAAAAACGAGTTGTGGAACTCCACGCTCAGTCTCTAATATCACTTTAGAAGCTCATAACAATGAGTCTGTTACCTGAAGTATCGATCAAATTTGGCACAGCTCTTTACATGAGGCTCTGAGACTTTCCTTCTTGGTTACAGACCCAATTTCTAGGCTGTGACTTACAGCAGAGTTTTTATATAAACATGAGTGGAAGCAGAAACTACTTGTTAATAAGACTGAATGGCTGTACACTCATCCCTCAGTATCCATAGGGGATTGGTCCCAGAACCCCTGTGGATACCAAAATCCAAGGATGCTCAAGTCCTTTATATAAAATGGTGTAGTATTTGCTTATAACCTACACACATCCTCCCATATACTTTAAATCACCCCTAGATTACTTATAATACCTAACACAATGTAAATGCTATGTAAGTAACTGTTTACTGTATTGTTTAGGGAATAATAACAAGAAAAAAAGTCTGTACATGTTCAGTACAGATGCAACCATTGTAGGCCATTTGATCTGCAGTTGGTTGAATCCACGGATGTGCAACTCACAGGTAGAGAGGGCTGACTGTAGTTCATTTATTACATATCTAGCAATATCCTAATGGAGGAGAGTATAATCCCCTATCAGGGTATAATGCTTGACTATGTAATACAGATTTGATTGGTGTTTCCCTGGAGGATAAGGACTTATTATGGGCAGTGAGGGCATTGACAAATCCCCAGGGTCATTAAGTGAAATGAAACATTTAAATTAATAACACTTTACCTGGACAAAATCAATCAATGGGAGGCTGACCTTTTCCTTTGATTTGACAGTTCTTTCCATGCAGCTCTCACAATAGTTTGTGATAGGCAATGAGTACTGAACTGAGGTTGTGGCAGTTGGGATGAAGAGGAGGGGATGAGTGCAAGGGAGAGATGGGAGGTGAAATGAAGGGCAGCTCTCTTTTGGCCACTTAGCTGTGGGGGTAGAGGGAGGAGGAGGAGTGACCATGCCTTACCTGTCAGTCGCTCCTTCCAGAAGCTGCAGGCAGTGGGAGTGGTAGTCTCTACCTTCGTGAGACACATCGTGGCTCTGGATTGTGTCAGGAACAGTCTTGCTTCTATGCCTGTTGCAGAAATGACATTTCATAGTCTCACAAATGCAAGTGTGTCAAAAATGTGTCATTGTTATTGTTGTTGATATTTTATTTTCAGTCTTACCTCTATTTTGAACCTTGGTTTCATGTGGTAATAAAAACATTAATGTAGTCACTTCCAGGTAAATTCTAATTCAGGGTTGTATCCAAATTTTAGGAAGTAGGGGTTGGGTGGGGGCTTATGAGCTGCACTGTAGGTGGAAAATGGCTCCTGGTGTTGTCTGTCTTTCTTTGGCAGCCACCTATATGGAGTTCTTGCCATCTTCAGTTGGTTAGGCAGTGATGTTCATCCTCACGGCATCTGACGAGAGATGTTTGAGATCCCATTGGTGACCTCTGCTCACCATGTCCATTAAGGTCATACTGAGTCCTCTTTCTTCTATGTCCTACCCTTCTGGGTTTACTTGCCCTCACACACCCCTCCCTGGCCCCTTCAGGGCCACAGAAAACTTGAGGATGCCCTTTTATTAACCTTCTGGTGTCAAGACAGACTGTAGTGAGGTTGCTATCTCAAGCCCTCTCTCCTTGGATCTACCTGGCAGCCATTTCTGTTCTATGCAGAGGATATTTTTATGAGGCTTGCCTCACAGGGGATTTCACAGTGGTAGCAAAACACAAGTCCTCTTTGCTGCTGGGGCTCTCCACCTGTCTGGGTTTTCACAAGCGCCTCTTCCCTGCCCAGAACCCAGAGTAGGGTTGAAGCCAGGGAGGACTGTGGTGAGCAGAACCTTTCCTAGACACTCACCTGCCTCTACCTGTTCTTCTCCTTCCCAAAATGTTCTAGCATGTTCTTGAAGCCACAACTTTGATCAATACTGGATGTGAGTGTCGAAGGTGTATGAAGTTAGGGTCTAACTCATTCTCTTTCGAATCTCACAGAGTGCACTATTGCTTCCAGCCTTTGGTCTTTTGAATTATAACATACCCAGCTCTTGCAAATCAGAAGTCTCTTGTTTCAAGAGCATTTTGGGGAAGGCAGAGCCGAGTGGTTGATTTTTTGTTCTCTTTGTTTTTCTGGCATCTCTCCTTTGGTGTGGCCCCTGAAGAGATGGTGGAAAGTGGGATCTTCCTTTAATATCTCTGACTATTTCCTCTCATACCTCTAAATTACCTCATGACCTTGGACAAGATACTTAATTGCTTTATCTCCCTTATCTCTATGATGACAGTCCAGTCTCAAGAGTATAGAAAATAGAGTAATGATCATCCAAAAAAAATTATTAAAAAGAGGGAGATGAAATTGAAATCTAATGTTAAGCTTGGCTTTCTGTGCTTTTTCTAAGAGTCTTCCAAGGGGGCCAGCCCCATGGCCTACTGGTTAAAGTTCCATGCGCTTTGCTTCGGCAGCCCATGTTCGTGGGTTTGGATCCCGGGTGTGGACCTACACCACTTGTCGGCCATGCTGTGGCCTCAAGCAAAAAAAAAAAAAAAAAATCCCAATGGATGTTAGTTCAGGGCGAATCTTCCTCACCAAAAAAAAAAAAAAAAAAAAGTCTTTCAGGAAAAATCTCTCTCTAATTTCTCTTGGTATTTTCCAGTACCCAACAGCCAGCCCAGTCAGGAAGTCAGTCATTTGTTGTATCTAACGTTAACTCTTTAGCTCCGGGGTATGGCTGCTGCTTTTTCTTCAGTCTCAGTGAAGAATATGAGGAATGTCTGAGGTACTCACTTCTTGATTTCTTTACAGTGGTTGAAAATCTAAGGAGAAAATAGAGGTCACTTACAATTACAGTCTTTAAGGTATATTTTTAAAATAGCCAACACTTCTCCCCTTCTAAACCTGAGCCTGTCCCACCCTGCCTCCCCTTCCTTTTTTCACAGAGACAAAACATGCCCCCTTGGCCTGGGCTTAAGCCTTGTTCCATCTGGAGGAGGGATTTGGAGCTCTCTCATTGCTGAGGTGAAAATTTTGCAGTTGTA